ACACACACACACACACACACACACACACACACACACACACACACTCACAATCAATCAATCAATCAATCAAACCCCTTTTTTTAAGTTTTTTCTTTATTTATTTTCAAATTTTGCATCTGCATTTTTTTTTAAACACCTCATACCCCAGCAAAAAACAGAAATTCATTTCTAAAAAAATACAGGTGAACTCAGAGACCATATATCTTATGATAAAAAATGACAAAAAAAAAAATCCAGCTTTTTTTTATATTTTGTTTTTTTATTTTCTTTAAATCGAATTTAGTTTTTGATTTTTAAAAAATCCTAAAAAAAGTTGGATTCCAAAAAAAAAAAAATGGGGTTGTAGGGCTTAAAATCCCCTACAACCCCATATATATATATATATATATATATATATATATATATCGTCAAATAGAACTGCCCGGTAAACCGTAGGCAGAGAGGGAGAAGAGGACAACAAACGAGTATATATATGACGATATATATATATATATATATATCGTCAGATAGAACTGCCCGGTAAACCGTAGGCAGAGAGGGAGAAGAGGACAACAAACGAGGGGCTGTGACAAACTGTTTCGTCGGAGTTTCACCGACTCATCAGTATATTTTTAACCTATTATTTAATTCAGGAAAATTCTGGTAAAATCAGGTCCGCGGTGCGGACCAGATCGGCCGCGGACGTGGCCCCATCTGCGTCCGCCATCCGAGATCGGACCCGCGGACGCGCCCGCGGGTGTTTCATAGGGCCCCATTCTTTCATCAGGATTCTCTCTGCCAGCAGAATCCAATCATCTTTACTCTCCGCCATTGCCACCCTGGCCAGCCACTGTCTCAGCTGAGCCTGGTTTTTCAAATGCGGATCAATCACACCCAAACCCCCTTGCTCATTGGGGTAGGTGATGAGATCCCAAACAACCTTAGACATGAACCCTTCCTCCGCTACCGCTCTTGGCTTCCATAGAAATTTTGATGCTAGCCTCCGGATCTCCGCCAACATTGTCGCTGCTACTTCCCTTATTGTCCCCAAAAACTAGATCAGGGAGAGTAAGGCCACGTTAATAACCATTGCTCTGCCGAAAAGCGAAAGATGTCAAGCCGATCCCCATACCTTCAATCTGGCCACCATTCTTTGCTGTAGAATTGCCCCCTGCGTGATACTCATCAGACGAGTGCTTACCATCACCCCTAGGAACCGCTCCCCAGTCTCCGGATCCACCCTTTGCATACCCCAATTAACCTGTAGATTCCGGCCCTCTAGCAGCAATTACTTAGACTTGTTCCAATTTACCGAGGCCTCGGACAACAAGGAATATTCCACCAGTACTTCCTTCAACGCCCCCATCGACTCCATGGTGTTGGATGAGATCAAGAATAGATCATCTGTTAGTGCTTTCGTTCTACACTCTCTGGTAGTAGAGACCGGTAATCCTCCGATCCGCGGGTGTTTCCAAATGCGGTTCATTGGAACCTCCAACTGCAGCACAAAGAGAAGAGGGGCCAAGGGGCAGCCTTGGCGCAGCGATCTTGATAGGTGGAAGGAGTTAGACAGATGGCCATTAACCTGGACTGCTGAGGTGGTCAGCGTATACATCGCGATAACCCACTTGCAAAAACCCTGGCCGAATCCCATCTTCCTCAGCGTGGTTAGGACGAACGACCACCCCACCCTATCATAAGCCTTTTCCATGTCCAACAGCTGAACCGCGAAGCCCAGATTCTCCTGCTGAATGACCTCAATGCTTTCGATGGCTGTTAGAATATTTACAAAGATGGAGCAGCCCTGAACAAACGCTCCTTGGTCGCCCTCCACCAATCTTGGAAGAACCTTCCCGAGGCGTAAAGCCAAGGTTTTTGCCAAAAGCTTGTAGTTGACGTTCAAAACCGAAATGGGGCGATAGTTTCTGATGTTTGCTTTGTCACCTTTTTTAAACATCACAGAAATCACCCCATGAGTCATGGCTCCTCCCAATGCACCCTCTAATAGAACCTCGTTGTAGACTTCCACCAATGAGGACCCCAGCACATCCAGACAAGCTCGGTAGAATTCTACCGTAAGGCCATCCCGTCCCGGACATTTCCCAGGGGCCATAGACTTCAGGGTCTGTCTCAGTTCTTCTATAGTCACGGGTCTGTCCAGGGCCAACCTTTCCTCCACCGTTAGCTGAGCCGTGGTATCCTCCCACATGTCCAACTCCAAGGACAGATCAGAGTTTACTGAGTTTTGAACTCTTCTTGATGTGAGAATGTCCGCGTAGTACAGTTTAGCATACTCCAACATGTCCTCCTGAGTGGTGGCTTGCGGGGGCATCCTGAGCAAAGGGGTGATTCAGCTGCACCACTTGGTGAAAAGAGGAGCTTGGAAGCAGCTTCCGAAATGTCTCCTTCGTGATTCTGTCATGGACCAGAATGCCTTTGACTTTCAGCATCTCCTCCCACCGTGATTGCTTCTCCATCTGCAGCTTTTCCCATTCTGCAAGTCTGATTTCCCTCTCCCTGGCCCATACCAATTCAGAGATTGGGTGCTGTTCCATTCTTCTTTCTGCCTCCTCTACCCTCCTCCTACACTGATCCTCCTTCATGTTCCGCTCCCGTGCCAGGATCCTAGAGCTAACATCTAGCATACCTGAGATTACTGCTGTACCCCCATCCAACCAATCCGCTGTGGAGGGGAAGAGGGGACGTGTACCCTGCCAGTCTTCCCAGTGGCCTTGCACCCAGCTCAGCAACCCGGGGTCCTCCAAGTTCTGAGTGTTTAACTTGAAGTAGCTCCTCCACTTCCTACGTTACAAGTTGGCCTATCGTACTTTTGCAAAAAGAATTTCAAAAGATAGAGGGGCAATGAGAAAGATCAGCCCCATAAGAGTACATACGCCTACTTCGGGCCAACCACCAACAACGGACTGCGCAGGAAATAGCGCACAAACAGATTCTAGTTCGTGGCACGTGTAATAACATTTTACCACTCCATAGTTGACAGCAAAACAGCACAACCACAATAACTCAAATGAGATAATAGAATGAACTCGTAAGAGAGAGAGAGAGAGAGAGAGAGAGAGAGAGAGAGAGAGAGAGAGAGAGAGAGAGAGAGAGAGAGAAGGATGGGAGGGAAAGTAAGAAAGCAGACAAAATCTCAGAGAGCAGCACAAGCAAACGCCGTATATCCCTTGAATGCCAAGCCATAAGACTGAAACTGAGAAATACATTCTACAGCACTTCTTCAGGTTCCTCCCAGCCAGTCGGCCATTGATGACGCGAAGAGTGCCAGCAAGCACCTACACGGTTCAACAAGAAACCAGCATTCGCGTAAATGAAAAGCATTGAACAAGCCTCTTCTATTTCTTCTTCTTCTTTTTGTTTTCTCGCGGTTGTTTCAACATTTTTTCTCTGCTCCAACACTGGATGCCACTTTCATGCGTGTTCGCGGAGGAAGGGAGGAGGAGAAATAGGTGCCCAGGAAGTTTGGACCCACCGTGGAAAATGTCTTCAACGTCCCCTCTGACTCGACGATGACATTGGCCTGTGTCGCATACGAGTCATCGACAGATTCGGTGGGTCCAGTCCGCATGACGGTGTATGTCAAGCCCGACTCTACGAGTTTGTCGATCAGCTTTTGCTCGTTGGCCACGCCACTGCCACCCCCACTGAGTGCACTAAGAAATCCGAAGAGCCCACCACCTCCTCCTGCCGAGCTCCCACTTTTAGAAACCAGAACGAAATGTGTTGCTCGTGCCTTGGCCACTGCATCCACCATCGTTAATGCATCCTTGACTTCAAACTTGCCACGTGGACCGTTCTCCTGCGGCCCAACCGTGATGACAACCTTGCCAGCGTTGCCAATAGCTGCTGCAATGGACTCGTCATCGCTTTGATCGCATTGGACAACATTCAGCCGCTTTGCTTCATCCCTGGTGATCAGCTGCGGAGCATCCCGCATGACCACCCACCAGCATGAACACCACCATAAGCAACATCCAAGGGGTTGTTTACGGCACACAATTTTATCCATAGCATCAATTTGAACACGTTGGATGATGGCCCCCTCATTGCCGACGTGATTGACCAGTCATCCACAACCACGGAGTTTGAGTTTGAGCCCGAGTTCCAGTCCAATGCCAAAGTCCAAGCCGAAACCGGAGGTTGGTACGCACCCAACTTCACCACAGACCCCACAGAGATTATTTGCCAACGACAAAGCAAAGGCCAAGCACACCAGAAAAGATGAACCAGTCAATGCCATCAGCGCATCTTCATCATCATGTGAAATAGAGACATTCGCAGTATCACCAATCTGCTTTATCCATTACTCTCTCTCTCTCTCTCTCTCTCTCTCTCTCTCTCTCTCTCTCTCTCTCTCTCTCTCTCTCTCTCTCTCTCTCACACACACACACACACAC